GGCTGGGCAGCAGCTTAGCCGAAACGGTAGTGCGGATTTTCTGGGGGGGGGGGGGGCGCGCTTCGGCCGCTGAGGACAAGAGCGTCGGAGCGAGCAAGGGCGGGGGAGGGGGAAGTGGGGTCAGGGTCTGGTTGGGCGAAAGACACACGGGAGACAGTCCGGGGAATAGATGATGCAGACCGGACATCGATGGCCATTCGGATTGGTGTGTTGCACGTTGTGCACGTGTGACTGTGCGAGCACGGCCCCCGGCCAGATGCCGGTTGCCGCGGGGGAGTTGATTTTTATAAACCGGGGACACCTGAAAGCTGATTCTGTTTTAGCTCCAGCTTTACCTTATAGCGCATGGGGCCGCGCTCTCCCCACTCCTTGGCCCCAGACAAGGTTATGGGAGCGGTCATAACAGGTGATGGCTGTTATGGCTGGCTACTCATAAGAAATAACACCCCTTAACACCTCATAACACCTCATAACACCTCCATCGCTGTTATGGCTGTCATGCCCACCCTACCACAACACCTCATAACACCTCATAGCACTCATAACACCTCTTACTGGTTTTTATGACAGCCAGCATAAACAACCTCATAACAGCTGTTATGACTCGGCCAAAACCGAATAATTGACCCCTGTGGCCCACGGATTTTTTCTTTTGGAGCCCCGCCGCGCAAAAGCAAGACAGAAAACATACAGGTGTATCATACACCCCAAAGGAGGGGCGCCGCGCGTATCCCGGTGTTTCTTCAAGAAAAATCTTCTTTTTGGAGCGCCCGCCCCGCGTAGCTACTACCAGCCAACCATGGCCTACCGGATGAAGATGTTCAGGAGCCAGAAGCCCTCGTCATTGACCTGCGCGTCTCCGACTTCAAGCAGATTCCCGGCTTCAACTGTGTGCTGTCTGTGTACTGTGACGGAGGACGAGCACACGTACAACTCGCTGTGCTCTGAGATCCGAGATGCGTGGGCCATCGACGCGTTCTTCACCTTCCTACCTACTTACCTTTTAATTACTGCGTACTTTTAGTAGTTAAACTCACTTTTTAGTAGTTACTGACGTAAATCTCACACTTTTGTAGTAAAGGTAGTTAAACTCGCGGGTGGAATCGTCCTCAACTCAACTGCCAAGGCTGGTGCCAGGGCCAAATCAACTGCCTGGCTGGTGCCAAGGCTCAAAGGCTCTCCTCTCTCTCTCTCCTCCCTCTCTCCCTCCCTCCCTTCCTCCCTCTCACCCCCCACCTCTTCTCTCCTCTCCCCCTCCTCCTCTCTCCTCTCTCCTCCTCTCTCCTCTCCTCTCCTCTCCTCTTCTCATCCTCTCCCCTCTCCTCCTCTCCTCTCTCCCCCCCTCTCCCCCAGCAGCTTCCTCGAGGCCGAACAGGTAGATCCTCCCTGATCGCTAAGCTACCACAGGGGAAGTAGACGTCGTCCGCCGCCGCCTCCGCCGCCCGCGTGCCTCCGCCCCGCTCAGCAAAAAATCAGCATTATATCAGGAGGTGCCAAAGCCGCAGCATCTCCATGAGGTGAGCGTCGTGCGTTTTGCCGCCGCGTGCCGCCGCTGCGCCGACTGGCTCCCGGTTCGAGTCGTCCTTCGCGGAGCGAACGCGGCGATACGAGCGCACGTCGCGCGCGTGTGCGCCTGCGACAAGACGAGAAGAGAAGGAGAAGTAGACGGCTGATGTTTTTGCTGCCGCGGCCGCGCCGCGGCCTTATTTCTTTTTCTCTGATCCCCCCGGTCGCTGCCAACTTGGTCGTCGGCCGGCCTCTGCAAATGCTTCCCCGCTCGGTCGCCCCTTCCCGGGCCATCGTCATCGGCGGCGGCGTTGCTGGCGTGAGCATCGCCCGCGAGCTCGCCCGCAAGGGCGTCGGCGTGACGCTCCTCGAAAAGGCGGGCCAGCTCTGCGCCGGGGCGACGTGGCACGCGGCCGGCCTCGTGACCCGCTTCGGCGGCTCCCCAAAGATAAAAAAGGTGCACGTCCGCGCGCTCCGCGAGATGACCGCGCTGCACGAGGCGCACGACATTGGCCTCCACATCACCGGCTCCATCCGCCTGATTGAAAAGGGCAACCCGGACCGGCTCACAGAGGCCAAGCAGCACGTGGCGATGGCGGCGCTGTACGACGACCCCGGCCTGCCGACGACGCTAATCACGCCCGAGGAGGTTGCCGCTCTGCACCCGCTCGTCGACACCTCCGGCGTCGATGCTGGCGTCTTCACGCCGCGGGACGGCGATGTCGACCCGACGCTCCTCACCACCTGCGTCGCCGGCCTGGCAAAGGCTGACGGTGCGGAGTTCGTCCACAACGCAGAGGTGGAGACGATCGAGCGGCGGAGCGACGGCACGTTTGAGGCGCGCCGCCGCGCCCTCCGCCCTCCTTCTCCTCTTCTCTCTCCGCACCCCGCGCCGCCTCTCGCGCCCGCGCCGCGCCTCACCTCGCGCCCGCCCTCCTCCGACCCGCGCCCGGCGGCGCGTCAGGTGCGTACGGGCGCCGGCGCGGTGTTCGAGGCGGACGCGGTCGTGAATGCCGCCGGGCTCTGGTCGCGCCGCTTCTCGCGCCAGCTGGGCCTCGAGCAGACGCACCCCCCCGCGTCTGTGGTCGAGCACCGGTACTCTGGGAAGTGTCTGGGAAGTGTCTAGGAAGTGTCTAGGCACCCCGCGTTTGTGATCGAGCACCAGTACGCCATCACCGAGACCATCCCTGCGCTCAAGGGGAAGGTGGGCGACGGCGAGCGCGTGCCCGTGCTACGAGACCTCGCTGGCTCCTCCTACATCCGGCAGGAGACACCTCCTAGACACTTCCTAGACGCTTCCTAGACACTGCCTAGACACTTCCTAGACACTGCCGTGTTCACACCTTGACGTGGCTCGCTCCTCCTACATCTGGCAGGAGCGCGACGGGCTGCTCGTCGGCCCATATGAAGGCCTCCTCTCTCCGGGCGAGCGGGGAGGAGGGGCCGGCCGCTCTGCGCGCCGCGCCAAGCGACACACGCGCGCGAGGCACGTTGGGCATAGGCGAGCAGGCAAAGGTGCGGACCGATCACTGACTGCGAGGTAATACTAATGGATGAGTCTCCGCTCCAAGGCGAGCAGACTAAGGTGCGGACCGAGTGGGCCGAGGGGCCGCCCTCGCACTTCGCCTTCGACCTCTTCCCGCCATCCCTCGACCGGCTCGAGGGCTGCTTGCTCTCGGCCATGTCGGTGAAGACGAGAGCCGGGATGGCCATCAGACCGCTTCAAGTCTTGACTGAGTCACTGAGGCATCGCCCCTTCCTCAGGTCGTGCCCGCACTCGGCGAGGTCGGCTTCAAGTCCATCGTCAACGGGCCAACCATCTGGACGGGCGACTCGCTCGCGCGGTGCGAGCTTTCACCCTCACCCTCACCCTCACCCTCACCCTCACCCTCACCCTCACCCTCACCCTCACCCTCACCCTCACCCTCACCCTCACCCTCACCCTCACCCTCACCCTCACCCTCACCCTCACCCTCACCCTCACCCTCACCCTCACCCTCACCCTCACCCTCACCCTCACCCTCACCCTCACCCTCACCCTCACCCTCACCCTCACCCTCACCCTCACCCCTCACCCTCACCCTCACCCTCACCCTCACCCTCACCCTCACCCTCACCCTCACCCTCACCCTCACCCTCACCCTCACCCTCACCCTAACCCTCACCCTCACCCTCACCCTCACCCTCACCCTCACCCTCACCCTCACCCTCACCCTCACCCTCACCCTCACCCTCACCCTCACCCTAACCCTCACCCTCACCCTAACCCTCTAACCCTAACCCTAACCCTCTAACCCGAACCCTAACCCTAACCCTAACCCTAACTCTAACCCTAACCCTAGGTGTGGGCGGACGCGGCTGCCCGGCTACTACGACTTCAACTCGCTGACGTACGGCGTCGCGCAGTCGCTCGCCCTCGCCGAGTACCTCGGCCACATCATCACCGAAGGACACTTCCTAGACACTCCCTAGACACTCCCTAGACACTCCCTAGACACTCCCTAGACACTCCCTAGACACTCCCTAGACACTCCCTAGACACTCCCTAGACACTTCCTCGCCGAGTACCTCGGCCACATCATCATCGAGGGCGAGATACAGCCGAGCTACAGCCGAGATAGAATTGATGAAGTGGTTGATCGATGCATCAGGCGAGCAGCCGTACGACATGTCTAGGGAGGTGTCTAGGAAGTGTCTAGGAAGTGTCTAGGAAGTGTCGTCTAGGCGAGCAGCCGTACGACATGGCGACTGAGTTCGACCCGCTCCGGTATGGCGGCTGGGCGACGCCCGAGCACCTAGTTAATAGGTAATGACTAATAACTTATTAATTAGGTACGGGGGCTGGGCGACGCCCGAGTACACGGCCGCGAAGGTGCTGGAGACGTACTCGCACAACAACGCGATCTTCTCGTCCCCGCACGACCGCCTCAACTGTGAATGAAGCACCACCCCCTCTTGATTGCCATTAATTAGGCGATCTCGTACCCGCACGAGAGTCGCCCCGCCGGCCGCGACGTTGTCGCAAAGTCGGATGCCCACCGCGCGCTGCAAGCCACCCTCGCGGCGCACGGCGCTGTCTTCAGCTTCTCGAACGCGGGCGTGGAGGTGCCGCTGGTTTTTCTGCCTGGCGGAGCGGGCGCCGAAACCGCTCGACCACAAGACCTTCCAGACACTTCCTAGACACTTCCGAGACACTTCCTAGGCGCCGCCCCGCTCGACCTCAAGACCTTCGCGTCGCACGCGTGGGCGCCGCTCGCCGAGGAGGAGGCGCGCAGACACTTCCTAGACACTTCCTAGACACCTCCTAGACACCTCCGAGACACCTCCTAGACACCTCCTAGACACTTCCTAGACACTTCCTAGACACTTCCTAGACACTTTCTAGACACTTCCTAGACACTTCCCTCCCCCACGCAGGCGCAGCACCTGCTCCGCGCGGTCGGGCTAGGCCTCGCCTCCTTCTCCAAGCTGCTGGACTCGCAGTGACGAATTCGCAACTCGTAATTAATAATTCACAGGCCTCGCCTCCTTCTCCTGCCTGATTCGCGAACTGTACTCCGCAGTTCGCGATGGCCATTGAACAGGCTTCGCCTCCTTCTCCAAGTTGCGCGTGCGCTCGGGCGCCTCCGACGCCGCGTCGCGCCTACTTGAGCGCGTGACGACAAACAGCCTGCCCAAGCGTGCGGGCCGCACCCGCCTCACCTACGCCCCAACCTCCGCCGGCAACATCCTCGCCGAGTTCACCGTCACGCGGACCGGCACCGACGGCAACGGCAGCCACGACTTTTACCTGTGCGCGTCGCGCGACTACGCGCAGCACGACCTGGCGGTGGCTCGAGCTGGTGGTTGTTAATTATTGAGAGGTAGTTCATAATAATTACTAGGCGCAGCACGACCTGGCGTGGCTCGAGCAGCAACGCGCGCTGCTCGAGGAGGCAGGGGCTCGTCGAGGCGGGCGCCGTCGAGCAACTAATTACTAATTAACAGGTGATTAGCAACTAATAGGCGGGGCTCGTCGAGGCTGGCGCTGTCGAGCTCGTCGACTGCACCGACGAGGTCGAGATCTGAGTAATTAGTAATCGCTAGTTACTGATGACTAATTATTGCCGACTGCCCCGACGAGGTCGAGATCCTGCACGTCGCGGGCCCCTACTAATTACTAATCACCAGTTCCTAATTAATAGGTCGAGATCCTGCACGTCGCGGGCCCGTCGGCGCAGGCGCTCACGCCTGATGTTCAACAAGTATTCTTGTTTGCCAACCAGTAAGGAGGGGACACGGATTCCGCTGTAATTCGACCGTGTTCGTCCGTATTCGGCCACATTCGTTTCGCTCTTCCGCGGTGGGATCCTGCACGATGCTGCCCTCCCCCGCCCCGATGCTGTTCAACTGCAGCACGTAGGCGCTCATGCACGCGCTCTGCCCGGAGGCGGCCTCGGTGCCCTTCCTGCAGATGCGCAACTTGCGCGTCTGCGGCGTGGAGGCGGCCGTCTTCCGCATCTCCTTCACCGGCGAGGCAGGGTACCTAGACACTTCCGAGACACTCCTAGACACTGCCTAGACACTTCACCGGCGAGGCGGGGTACGAGCTGCACGTGTGGAAGTGTCTAGGCAGTGTCTGGGAGGTGTCTCGGAAGTGACTAGGCGGGGTACGAGCTGCACGTGTCCGCCGAGGACGCGGCGCCCCTCTTCGACCAGATCCTGCGCAGCGACAAGGCGCGCGCACTCGGATGCCGCCCCTTTGGCTCCGCGGCGGTCAACGCGCTCCGCGTCGAGAAGGGTTTCAAGGTCAAAGCAGACCTCGACTTTGCGCACTGGAGCGAGGCGCGCGTCGACGCCTTTCTCATCACTGGTAGTGGCAGTGTAGCCTTGCTGTCTACTCTTGTGTTTGCTGGAGCGAGGCGGGCGTCGACGCTTTCATCCCCGACGCGCGCAAGCACGAGGTGCTGCCCTTCCCCTCGGCACGCGCCAGCGGGATTTCTTTTTGAGCGGGTTTCTTTTTATTGGGTCACAAGGTGCTTCCCTTCCTCGGCAAGGACGCGCCGGCGCCGCTCGGGTCCGAGCAGGGCGGCCGCCTCGCCGCCATCTTCGATGTGGCGACCGACGAGGCGCGCGCACACACACGCACACACACATACACACACACACGCACACACACATACACACACACATGCACACACACACACACACACACACGCACACACACACACACACACACACACACACACACACACACACACACACACATACACACACACACACACATACACACACACACACACACACACACACACACACGCACACACACACACACACGCACTGGCCCTTTGCACTTGCAGTGGGCCTCCTGTCATTCTAGACGTGAAGTCGCGAGGGTTGCCCCGCGCGATCAATCAGAACTCGTCGATCAACCTCAGGCGCACGCCTGGTCCGTGCTAATTAATAATTAATTAATTAATTAATTAATTACCTCAGGCGCACGCCTGGTCCGTGCTCGGCGACAGCCCCATCCGCGACGCGACCGGCCGCGTGGTCGGCTTCACGACGACCAGCGCGCGCGGCGCCATCACCGGCCGCACCATCGCGCTGGGGTACGTCAAGCGAGGCGAGAGCGGCGCGCCACTCGCGCTCGCGGGCGACGCAGGCCTCACGCTGGAGAGCCTCGGCCAGATCTGGCCGGTCGAGCTGCTCTCTCGCCCGCCCGTCGAGGTCGGGGGGAAGCCGAGGCCCGCCGAGGCCGAGCCGATCGCGGCCAGCGGCTGAGCGGGGGCGCGTCTCCTGGGAGGGTCTGAAGTTATCCGTTCCCTACGGGGGACTTGGGGAGTCAGCACGTGTCAGCAGGCGATTCTCTGGGCACCCTGGGGGTGGGTGCCACGCTGACGCGCCATATGTAATCTTTCCCCCTCGTCTTGTTCACAACTCAAAAACTTTTCATTTTTCAAAGTTCAACGTCATTAGATTCACAGCTCGGGCTTTGACAGTCATTCTAAAGCCGTAGACACATCCTACGGGGCTTTCTAGACACAATACACAAACGAGGGCGCTGACGCACGACGGGAATACACACTGCACAAAAAAGACTAGAGCCGTCACGCGCGCGAGCCTGTCGGAAGCGTCGGGTCAGGACTGAGTCACGACCGCGGCGAGAGCGCTCGGCCGACCACAAGCTCAGACCACCGTCGGGTACGCCCGGTCGGCAACCTTCTTGTACTGTTCCATGAAGAGGAACATGAAGACGGTGTGCCCGCCGCACCGGCCGAAGTACGGCCCAAACCCATTCCACAGCGACGCGATGCCCTCGCTGTTTGCAATCTTGCTCAGGGTTTGCGTGAGCGACGTGTACATGACAGTGCCGTCGGCGAGCGGCCTCTGGTTCTGCATGCGCGTCTTTGCCTGCGGGCAAGGGGGTGGGGCGGCGGGAGGGGGGGGGGGGGGTTCTGAGCGCGGTTCGGACGCGGCTTGGGCCCGGGTCTGCGATGCCGTGTCGATTGGCAGCGTCGCGGCCGAGTACACGAAGCCGGAAGTGAGGGCCGAGCAGATGTGCAACGGCACGCCGTCGACGTACGGCGAGTAGGTGCCTAGAAGGATCCTGGAAGGTTCCTAGAAGGTTCCTAGAAGGCTCCACAGCGACGTACGGCGAGTAGCTGCTTTTGGCCACGTCGTACCCGCCGACCTATATAGCGCATACAGCGCCACACCTCGTGAGCTGTCCTGTGAGCTGTGTGTGCTGTGCGTACCAGACGTCAGGACCCGCTGTGCAGTGACGGCCGGTGAGAGTGTGCCTCGTGCCGGCTCCCGAGCCAATCGTGTGCAGCGTGTGTGTGTGCGCGTGTGGGCCCGTCCTCCATGCTAGGAGGCGTGTATCACTGACTGGCTGACCGTACCCGCCGACCTGAGGGGAGGTGCGGCCAGCTGCTCCACACACACAACGGTGGTGGGGCAAGGGCCGGGCAGCCCTCGCAACTCCACGTCCGGGCAGGCAGGAGCTGGCAGGGCGCATCCAAGGTCGGTGCGCGCAAGGGTCGGGCCAGCCCTGCACCTGCAGCATGCTGACCACCATCGCTTAATTAACCGCTCAACTATTTATGAAGGGTGGGGCCAGCCCTGCACCTGCAGCATGCTGACCACCATCGCTTAATTAACCGCTCAACTATTTATGAAGGGTGGGGCCAGCCCTGCACCTGCAGCATGCTGACCACCATCGCTTAATTAACCGCTCAACTATTTATGAAGGGTGGGGCCAGCCCTGCACCTGCAGCATGCTGACCACCATCGCTTAATTAACCGCTCAACTATTTATGAAGGGTGGGGCCAGCCCTGCACCTGCAGCATGCTGACCACCATCGCTTAATTAACCGCTCAACTATTTATTAAGGGTGGGGCCAGCCCTGCACCTGCAGCATGTTGACCACCATCGCGCGGACCATGGTGGGGACGACGCCTGCGGGCCGGCGGACGCTGCGCGCTGCCGAGAGAGAGTCGGGAGAGGGAGGGAGAGGGAGGGAGCGGCGAGGGCCGGCAGAGCAAGGCATCGATGGAAGATGGATATGGATCAGGGAGGTAGATTCCGACCATGGTGCTACAACGCAGCGTGCGGCGGGTGGTTCTGTGCGCGCCGGCAAAGTACGCCCTCGCGCCGTCCTCGGCTCCGATCCGGTACAGCCCGCTGAATACGTTTGAGTAGTTGCGCCGCTCGGCGGGCGGCAGCCGGCCGTCGGCCTGCATCCAGTTCGGAAGTGTCTAGATGGTGTCTAGGAAGTGTCTAGGAAGTGTCTAGGAAGTGTCTAAGCAGCCGGCCGTCGGCCTGCATCCGCACCAGCGTCACCTCGACCGGGTTGGACAGGAAGGCCGCGGTGCCGCCCGCGACGCACCCCAGCCCGAGGGTCGCCCACGCGGGGGGCGGGGCCGGCGACGTGCCGTACAGCGCGTCCTTGAGCGACGAGTAGATGCCCAGGCGGAGGTTTCCGTAGGAGAGCTGCCGCGCCGCCGCCGCAGAGAGGCCCGCGTAGAGGCCGGCGACGCCCTCCGCCTGCACGACCTGCCTGGCGACTGCGGAGACGCCCGCGCTCTTCTGGCCGCCCTCGCCCATCAGCTGCTGCCGCACCTTGAGCACATCCATCGGGTGGACAAACATCCACCCGCTCAGCGCCGCGCTCGCGCCAGTCACAAAGTTGACCCACCACGGGCGCGCCTTCGCCGGCTCAGCGGCGGCGAGGGCGGCAAAGGGCGGCTGCGTGGAGCGGGCAATATCACAAGGCGGAGACATGGCCGTGCGCGTGCGCGTCGCGCGCGAGGCGGCAAAGGGCGGCGGCGTGGAGCGGGCAATATCACAAGGCGGAGACATGCCGTGCGCGTGCGCGTCGCGCGTCGCGCGTGGTGAGGCAACGTGGCACGGGCAGCGTTCGGACTTTTGGGGGCGTGTGTACTTGTGACGTGAAAACCCGCTGGGACCGGGCGTGTGTACTTGTTACGTGAAAACCCGCTGGGACCCGGACGCCAGCACACACGGCTAGATTTCATGGCGGGCCGCCTAGGCCCTGGGGTCGGAGGCAGAGTCGGCGGGGGTGCCGCGCGCGGCGCGGGCTTCGCTGTCGGTGGGAGTATGGCGTGCTGCGGCATGTGGACGCGCGTCCAGGTATTTTTCGGGTAAACCTGGACTTTCTCGGGTATACCCGGGTTTTACCTGGGTCTTGGGCAGGCACCCCCCTGTCGGTCGAGCAGTCTTGGCTCCCGCGAGGTGTACCCCCCTCTCGGTCAGAGGCCTGGCCAGGGGCACCTGTAGGGGGGTACCACCACCCCCCTCATGCTCACATGTCTTGCGAGAATGGGGGCGGCTAGGTGCGAGGGGGGGGGGTGTTTGAAGATGACGCGCATATATAGCTGTCCGTTCACACATTTTCAAGATTTTAAGGCTAACGGACTCCCCGCCTTCAAATCTTAAATTCGGCTGACCTGTAGTCGGTGGGCGACTCGTCCCACGCCGCTCTAGGCGCGCGCAATCTGACTTGGCGTGTGATGAGGGAGCAGGACGAGGCCAGCGACGCCTCCAGCGCAGGCACGGCCTCCCCAGCAGCGTCGCTTCTAGCGGCGGACACCGCGGGCGAGGCTCGCACCGCCGGCAACCTGCGAGCGGTGGCTGCCGCCTGCATAGCAGGCATCGGGCCATTCATCTTTGGCTACACGCTGGGTTTCACGTCTCCTGCGCAGCTCCCGATGGAGGTTGGCGCCAGTGGGCCGTTTGGCGCCGTCCTCGAGTCGCACCTCGACGCAGATGGCGCCGTAGCGTCGTCGCAGGCCGCGCTCTTCGGCTCGATTGTCAACGTGGGGGCGATGCTCGGCGCGCTGGTGGCGGGTCCGCTCGCAGACAGCATCGGCCGCCGCCTCACCATCGCGGCCGCCGCGCTGCCGTGGATCCTCGCGTGGTCCGCCATCGCTTTTGGACGCACCTTTGCCGAAGTGCTCGCCGATAGACGGACAGAGGGGAAGGGCGAGACGCTGGAGCGACACACAGAGAGAAAGACACTGCACTCGGCGATCTGGCCGCCAGCCAGGTTTGGATCCACGCGCTGCCGGCGTCTCTTCACAGCTCGCGGCTGTGAACAGGTGCTCGCCGGCCGGCTGCTGTCTGGCGTTGCGGTCGGCGTCGCCTCGATGGCGGTGCACTCTACACCTCGGAGACGGCTCCCACCTCCACCCGCTCCTCACACCGCCGCCAACGTGAACCAGGTGCCTCTGTACATCTCGGAGACGGCTCCCACCTCCACCCGCTCCTCACACCGCCGCCAACGTGAACCAGGTGCCTCTGTACATCTCGGAGACGGCTCCCACCTCCATCCGCGGCGCGCTGGGCGCCGTCAACCAGCTGGCCGTCACTCTGGGCGCCCCTCCTAGACACGTCTCAGCCCTCTCCTGGACACTTCCTGGACACTTCCTGTCCTCCTCTCAGCCTTTACACACGCGCCGGGCGACGTCTCGGAAAGGTCCACGAACTGTCTAGGCATCTTCGCGGTCTATCTGCTCGGGGGTCTGCTCCAGTCACAGCAGCCAACTAACCTGATGTGCCCCGCCTCCGCCTCCGCCTCCGCCTCCGCCTCCGCCTCCGCCTCCGCCTCCGCCTCCGCCTCCGCCTCCGCCTCCGCCTCCGCCTCCGCCTCCGCCTCCGCCTCCGCCTCCGCCTCCGCCTCCGCCTCCGCCTCCGCCTCCGCCTCCGCCTCCGCCTCCGCCCCCCCCGCTTCCCTCCGTCGCGTCGTCTCGAGCCTCGCGACGGCGGCGACTCCCGCGCCTTGCCCCGCCCCTCTCACATGCTCTTCCGGCGGCGTGTGCGAGGGAAAGCTGGCGCCGTGGCGGCACCTGGCGCTCGCTGCCACGGGCCTCGCCGTCGCCCTCCTCCTCTGCGCCCTTCTGCTGCTCGAGCAGTCGCCTAGCTCCCCTCCTCCTCTTCACACCTCCAGCTGTGAACAGGCGCCCTGCTGCTGCTCGAAGAGTCGCCCTCGTATCTCGCACGGCGCGGCAGGGTGGAGGCGGCGAGGCGGGCGCACGGCCTAGTCCGCGACATGTCCACGGCGTGTCCTGCAGGCGCGGCAGGGTGGAGGCGGCGAGGCGGGTGTTGTCGCGGCTGCGCTCGAGCGCTGCGGAGGTCTAGCGTTGCAGTCGCCCGAGACTTAGCCGAGATCGAGCCGAGATTGAGTCGAGATCGCGCCGAGATCGAGCGCCACAGAGGCGCCGGTGGGGCGCACGGCGAGGGTGTGAAGAGGCGCCGTTCACACCTCGAGCCGTTCTCAGGCGTCGGAAGAGCTCAAGGCGCTGGTGCGGGGTGGGAGGGCGGAGGGGGGAGTGGAGACGGGAGAGGGCGGCGGAGGCGGAGGCGACGACCAAGCGGACGGAGGCGACGGCGGCGGCGGCGGCGGCGGCGGCGGCGGCGGAGGCGCGTCGTTGCGGCTGCTGCTTGGGCGTGGCGTGCGGCGGCAGTTTGGTGTGGGCTGCGTGTGATCGAGCTCACAAGTTGCGGCTGCAGAGCTGTGAGGCCGCTCGCTGTGAGCAGGGCTTGGCTGCGTGCTGATGTTTGTGCAGCAGTTCTCCGGCATCAACGCCGTCATCTTCTACTCTGCCTCCATCCTGCAGGAGAGCATCGGCCAGCCTTGGGTAGCCTTGGGTCGGGCAACCTCGGGCAACCTCAGGCAACCTCAGGTGATCTCGGGTGACTTCGGGTGATCTCGGGTGATTTCGCTGCTTTGCAGGCCGGAGGCATCGACGACCCAAACACGGGCGGTTTGTTGATCATGGGTGTGCAGGTGGTGATGAGCCCTGGAGGGATGTGGGGAGATATGGGGAGATATGGGGAGATATGGGTGTGCAGGTGGCGATGACACTTCCGAGACATTTCCGAGACACTTCCATGGGTGTGCAGGTGGTGATGACGGCGGTGGCGGTGCTGCTGATGGATCGCGCCGGCCGCCGCGCGCTGCTTCTCGTCTCCCTGGCGGGCATGTGCTTCTGCGCGGCTGCCATGGGCGCGTTCCATCTCAACGCGCAGCGGCCGACCTGGCTAGTACCACACCTCCAGAGTATCGAATCCAGTGTGGGTTCCGTGGGTGGTGTGGTGTGGGAGGAGCGCAGCGGCCGACCTGGCCCGCTCCCGCCCCACCTCTCTCGTCGGGTGCATCGCCAAGACGCGTCCAGACACGCCCACGAACCCCCCCGCCCCTCATTTGGAAGGCTCGCCCTCGCCTCCCTCGTCGGCTACATCGCCTCTTTCTCGCTCGGCCTCGGCGCCGCCCCTTGGCTGCTGGCGGGCAGGCGGCTGGCGCTCGAGACAGGGCTGACTCGGGTGAGGCGGTGCACTAGGCGCCCCTCCCCGTGGCTGCTGGTGGGACAGCTTGGTGCGGGGAGCGCACACCCCATGCCGTGAACAGGCGCCATCCCCTGGCTGCTGATGGGCGAGCTGTTCGCGGCCGACGTGCGCGCGCTCGCCGCCTCGATGGCCACACTGCTCAACTGGGCCTTCTCCTTCACGATGACGCTCGTGTTTGCGCAGCTCAACGCTGCGCTGGGACCCGCCGGCACCCCCCTTCCTCTTCTCGGCCATCTCGGGCAATCTCGGGTCATCTCGGGTCATCTCGGGCCCGCAGGCACCTTCTTCCTCTTCTCGGCCATCTGCGCCGCCGGCGCCGCCTTTGTGGCGGCGTGCCTCCCCGAGACAAAGGGGCGGAGTCTGGCGGAGGTGCAGGCGCTCTTTGGCAGCGAGGCGAGCTAGAGCAGGCTCGAGCACAGCGACACCCATCCGTCGAGCGGCGTGCAAGGTCTGGGCCGAAGGTCTGGGCTCCAGCCCCGGCGGGACAGGTTCAACATCCTGAGCCCCACCGTGGTCATGGGAGGAGGCGCCGCTCGGTGTGTACGGGCGGTGCAAGGCGCACGAGCTCACACAAACGACTGCGCGGGCGTGGGCGACGACGTGCGAGAGGTGGGCGTGCAGCGCGTCGAACACGCACTGCTGAAATCATGCGGCTGCAAGTCACGCGGCTACGTTGGTCGTTGCACGTTGGGTATCGTGTCACCTTTCATTTTTTAAAAGAAAGAATTTTAGAAAGAAAACAGGTAACAGACAGCCCAAAACGGAGGGATGGGGGACAGGGTCCCCACCTGCACGAGCAGGATTTGGGGAGACGGCGGGCACGTCGCCCCTGCCATGGTGCGCGTAGCTATGACAGGGAGACCGCGGGTCCGCGCGCCGCGGAGCCGGCGGCGGACGGGGCTGGCGCGCAAGCGCCGGCCACCACGTCGGGCTGCCGGGAACGCGCCGCGCCGGACGACCCTGGAATCGCTTCGATCGCGCGCACATGGAAGACTGCCTCATTGCCGCAAGGCTCGCAGGTTGGGGGAGGATGGATCGAGCTCTTCGATGCTGGCGCCGTCGTCGGGCGAGGTGGAGGGCGGTGTAGCCGACGATGACGCAGTGGCGCCGACCGCCGTTACCGGTTGCCGTTGAAGACGATGCAGCAGATGACGACGCAGCGGCACCGTTGCCGTCGCCTGTGGCTGGGCGTAGGTGGTGATCGTGCCGGGGCTCAGGACGACGGGCGGTTGGAGAAGGACGCCGGGATGGGCTGGCGTCGCCTCCCCTTCAAACGGGTACCAGAAGTCGAGTAGGATCTGGGTCGAGGTCCGGATTGGGTAGTGCACGTTGATGTGGGCGAGCGCCTCTTGGATGTCGCGGTACTTCTTGTGGCGCGCCCTCGAGCCCCCGATGGCGCCGTGCGCTGCGCAGAGGTCCCACGTGGAAAAGACGCCCCAACCAGACCCTGGAACGTAGAGTGCGTAGTACCAAGGCTTGGGCGCGGCGGAGACGCTGTGTAAGATGAACAGGGAAGCGAAAATGCCGTTTTTGGTGTAAGCCGCCATGAGGCCGGCGAGTAAGATGCATCTTCCGGAAGAGTAAGAGATTTTGTGTTGTGTCGCCTCCGGGCTCTACCCAACGCGGCCAAAGGATATCCACCTCGAGAACCTCGAGAGGGCGCGAGCCGCGCGCTCTTTCGCCGTGATGCGGCGTCTGCAGCGTTGGGAAGCGTGGCTCGCTCTAAACACCGCAACCGTCCTTTGGGGCGCGCAGCACGCCGTCAACAAGCACATGCTGGTGTTTACATCGCCATCGGCGCTCACAGCCGCTCGGTTTGTGCTGGCGGCAACAGCAGTGCTACCTTGGCTGCCGCTGTCACGTGCGCGCAACTCGTGGCTCGACGGCGCGAAGCTTGGCTTGTGGAGCACCCTCGGCTTCGCCTTCCAGATGGTTGGCCTGCAGTACACCTCCGCATCACGCTCGTCGTTCCTGCTCTACCTCAACGTGAAGCTGGTGCCCCTGCTGGAGCTGATGGTTCACGGGCATATGCCGTCGCTGCAAACGTGGGCTGCAGCCGCTGTTGCGTTGCTTGGCGCCTTGCTCCTCGCCTTCGATGGTGGTGCGCCCAACCTCGGCGACTTGTGGTCGCTGGTGGCTGCGACCACTTCGGCATGCTTCATCATCATGCTCGGCTCAGCGTCCAGATCAGAGGGCGCCGTTGCTGCAGAGCTGAACGCAACGACGGCGGCGTGCACAGCAGCTCTATGCAGCGTGTGGGCCGTGGCAGATGCAGCAACGTCCACGACAGGCAGTGCCCTGCATGACCTGCTGCAGCTGCAAGCCCACATTGCGGAGGTCGCGTTTCTGGGCGTCGTGACTACGGCCTTTGCCCAGTGGCTGCAGGCGCTTGGTCAGGCGCGGATCGACGCGACAGACGCGGCGGTGATCTTTGCACTGGATCCTGTCTATGGCGTGTGCTTTGCGTCGCTGTGGCTTGGTGAGCACCTAGGGCCGCAAGGCTTGCTTGGTGCAGGCTGCATTCTCCTGGCGAACCTCTCTCAATACGCCTGCTTCGCGCGGAGGACTGCAGCCTCCGCTCAGGCTGAGAGAGACGCCGAGCTGCCTCTCTCGCAGAAGCTGTTGGTAGACGAGTGACGCCTGCAGTCGTGCGCAATTCAGATGTCTCGTGCTACACCCGCACGGCGCATCCTTTCGCCGACTCGCGGTCGGGCACACGATCCGATCGATCGCATGTTTTTGTTAGAGTAGTTGTACGGTACTTGTTTCATGTTGGATTGCAACTACGACTGCGGCTGATTGCTCGTCCGCGACGGCGAGACACGCACTGCCGCGCCGTAGCCGAATTGCTGGCGGGGTGGGTGTGATGGTGTCTCTTCACACCTCTGGGTATGAACAGGCGCGCCTTCTCCGACCGCGCGTCGTCGCTCGCGGGCGGCGGCGGCGGCAGGCATTCGCCAGACTACCTAGCCGGCCACGCTGGGGAAGAGAGAGAGGGGAGAGGGGGGGAGAGAGAGGGGGAGAGCGAGAGGGGGGAGAGGGGGGAGAGGGGGAGAGGGGGGAGGGGGGGAGAGAGGGAGGGAGAGGGAGGGAGAGGGGGGGGAGAGGTGAACGGTAACCTGTACGTAGGACCCATTCAACAATACACGGCTGTTGAAATTCTTTTCCTGTGCGAGCAGTCCCGTGCCCAGTGTTGTGCGAGGGAGCTTGCCCGTAAAATTCTTTTCCTACCCGGGTCAACATGTGCTGCTGTTTGGCGCATTGTGTCAGGGCTACTGGCACGCGGAGCTGGGGTCAACGCCCGACTCAGCTCGCTGCCGATCTCTACTACTACCCCCCGCGTGGCGTGCACGGGGGGCGTCGGGTATCCCGGGTGTCCAGCGCGCGCGGGCGGGGCGCGCACCATGCTGCTTGAAGGTCCGTATTGGTGCCCGCCGTATGGCGCTTCGAGAATTCGCTTGTAAAATTCTTTTCTTCGCGATGTTCACCCCGCCGCGCCGCTCGCGCCGCTCGCGCCGCCTCGCCACCGCCGCCACCGCCGCTCCCTCGCCAGACACGCCGCCGCCCGCCCGCCTCCTCGACCTCCCCACGGACCTCCTCGTGCGCGTCGTCTCTCGCTGCGACCCCGCCGACATCGCTCGCGTCGCGGCCGTCTCGCTTCTCTTTCACGCCTCGCTTGTGGTGGAGGGCATCCGCTTGTGGGCGCTAGAGCGCGGCTACGAGCTGCCGGCGCAGCCAGAGGGCGAGAGCTGCACCGTGCGGTGGCTGTGCTTCGCTGCGCTGCTGTGCGAGTCCAACCCGCCGGAGAGGCTGGCGGCGGGCGCATGGCACAGCGTTTTCATCGACGGCGAGGGGCGGCTCTCGTCGTGCGGCAATGGAGGACGGCGCCGCTTGGCAGCGGAGGACGAGGAGGACGAGGAGGACGAGGAGGACGAGGAGGACGAGGAGGCGGAGTTGCATCCAGGCATTCTCGGCCACGGCGAGGGCGTGCTGCAGCTGAAGACGCCGACCCGCCTCCCGTCGACGCTGGGCGGCGAGCGCGCGGTTGGTGTGGCGGCGTCAGCACTTTTCAGCCTCGCTCTCTCCGCGGATGGCGCCCTTTGGTCCTGGGGCTGCAGCTGGCAGGGCAAGCTGGGCCACGGCGGCCAGCAACACCAGTGGCAGCCCGGCGACGAGGGCCAGTCGCAACCCAAGAAGATTGAGGCCTTTGCGGGTCAGCGGGTCATCGCTGTGTCGGCTGGAGGCATGCACAGCCTCGCCATCACCGCCGATGGCGGCGTCTGGAGTTGGGGCTATGGAGGGCAAGGCCGGTTGGGCCACGGCGACACGCAGACCCAGCCGCTGCCCAAGCAGGTCGAGGCCTTTGCTGACCAGCGCGTCGTGGCTGTGTCGGCGGGAGCGTTCCACAGCATCGCCCTCACCGCCGACGGCGCTGTCTGGAGCTGGGGCTGGGGAGGCGGGGGCCGGTTGGGCCACGGCGACCAGCAGAGCCAGCTGCTGCCCAAGAAGGTCGAGGCTTTTGCTGGGCGGCGCGTCGTCGCTGTGTCGGCTGGAGAGCACCACAGCCTCTGCCTCACCGCCGACGGCGCCCTCAAGAGCTGGGGCAGTGGAGGCCATGGCCAGCTGGGCCACGGCGACGAGTTGTACCAGCTGCTGCCGAAGAAAGTCGAGGCACTTGCTGGGCAGCGCGTCGTGGCCGTGCCGGCTGGAGGGCGCCACAGCTTCGCCATCACGGCCGACGGCGCCGTCTGGAGCTGGGGCGAGGGGCGTTGTGGCCAGCTGGGCCACGGCAACCAGCAGAACCAGCTGCTGCCGAAGAAGGTCGAGGCCTTGGCTGGGCGGCGCGTCGTGGCTGTGTCGGCAGCGGAAGTCCACAGCCTCGCCCTCACCGCCGACGGCGCTGTGTGGAGCTGGGGCGAGGGCGAAGACGCCCGCCTAGGCCACGGAGAGGACCTGTTGAACCAGCTGCTGCCGAAGAAGATCGAGGTGTGGTCGCGGGCGTGAGAAGGGGGGAGGGCGGAGGAAGGGGAGGGGAGAGGGTGGGGGGGGGGGGAGGAGGCCGACGGTGCTTGCACTCGACAAGGCAGTCCATCCACTCGCGGCAAACCCCGCAAAGTGACCCGTTTTTACCCACCCACGCCCGTGCGCGCGTATCTTAGCTAAGGTACGCGGCCACACGCGCTGGCGCGCACGGCAACCGGGACTTACACGCGCGACACGAGGGACTGTGTATATCCTTGGCTGCCTCGGGGGAGAATAGCCGCCCCCTCACCCCGACCCGCTGCCGCGCATCGAGCTCGGCGGGGGGGGGGGTTCTGATAGATAGGCGCCCACAACGCGTAGCCGCGTATGTCAACATCCCTCTGTGCAGTCGCCTCGCCGACGGGCCGTTTCACGCGCTGACTAGGTCCAGCCCTGGGTGAGCCGGGTTGTGACAATTTGGCGATTCCGCGGCTTACTTTGGTTCCCTGAGCCGCTCCCCGTGTGCGATTCTTGTAGCCCAGGCATGGTCCTGATAGTAAACGGGTCAGAACCGGCCAAACACAGGCTACAGCCCCACACACGCGCCCGCCATAGCTCCTGGAGAGCATGCGCGAGTGACGCGCTACAAGCCGCGAGAGTGGCATCAGAGGCAGGAACGACGTGCTCTTGCTGCACCTCGCAGCTGCACCGAGTGTGCTCGCAGTATATGCCACGGCCGCCGCGCCTGCGGCATTGCTCTCGTGCAGCTAGGCGACGCAGGTCCATCAGCAGGGCTCATCCAATGCGCGAGCGCACATTGTCCGTAGCCGCGGGCAGGTGGCAGTGCACAGCCGCACACCGGCTGTGGCGGCTCGAATGCCCCCGGCAGCAATGCTGGTCATTAACTTGCGTATTGGGGCCGCAGCAGACTGCTGCTGTGGCAACAGCAGCAGCCTGCTGCTGCCTGATTCAGTCAAGCCAGCGGTGCAGCGAGGCGTGCAGAATTCGCGCGGTTTTGTCCCTCCTGAGGCTGAGCGCGTTCAGACCCGGTGACCGGAGTTGGATGGTTCGATGGAGCGAGCTCCATCGAACCATCCATGGCCGGACGGCGGAGCGTGAGGTGGCGAGCGGAGAGATGTACCGCAAGACGAGAAAAACACGGATCTGAACACGGGCCTCACTCTCCTGATCGTCTCGTCGTCGCCAGTGGCTGGGTCTTCTGGCTCCGACCGGACGGCTCCAACGCCCAGCATCTGAGACATGAACGCGAGGTCAAATTCTGGCACGTACGGCGGCAGCTCGGGCATCTGCCTCTGCCCCCTCGCCGCATCAGCGAGCGCGCTCGTGTCAGCTCGCCGCTGCTCCTGGTGCCGCTGCTTGGCCGCCGCGCTCGCACTCGCTCCCCTCAACGACATTGTGAGGAAGCAACGGTCTGCGAGAACCTTTCGCCCAGCGGGTCCACCACAGAGTTCTCCCAGTCATGTGCCCAAAATGCGCCCGCCGTTTTTCGTCATATCCCCCCTCCGAAACCCGCCGACTTTGATTGGGTCCGGTTCAACCTCACTCTCATCTCTATACTTTCAGATACAAAACGTCAGATCTGGCTCACCCAGGGCTGGAGCCTGGACCTAGTCCGCTCACGCCCGCGTACCTTAGCTAAGATACGCGCGCACGGGCGTGGGTGGGTAAAAACGGGTCACTTTGCGGGGTTTGCACACGGCCACTCTGCACCGACCTCAGCGGCTGCAGTTGCGACCGCAGTTGCTCAGCTCAGCCAGGGCTCGCTCACCCGAGCTCGGAGCCGCCGTCGGTCATGGGCAGCAACAAATTGACGCGTCGCTCGGTGCAGGAATTTGCAGTAGAGGTGCAGTGGCCGTCCGGCGCGCGCGCAATGGACTACAGCTTCATTGGCAGAGCTACCAGAGCGCGTCTGGAGCGCTGCCATTGTGTGACCCGCGTCCCAAGCGGCGCTTCCGGCCTGTTCCGCGCCTCTTTTTACGCCTTTTCATTCGAGAGGGGGGACGAGGTCTCATCAACTTCGAAACCGCGTTTGAAAGGGGGGAAATGCGCGCGTCCCTGAGAGGGTTGAGGCGGGGGTGGTTTCACTGCGTCGCGGCCGCATCCGCTGGAATGGGCCGTGGGTCGATGGCGTAGGCACTTATACCAATTCTGGAAATCTCGTATTCCAACTAACTCCAGTGTTTCTTTTCGTATAGTGCGTTTGCTCGACTTCGAGACGTTCGGCGGCTTCGGGGACGGCGTCCGCAGAATTCTTCGGCAGGCGGCGGACCAGCTGAGTAACAAACTTTCGCACGCTCAGCACCTCGATGAGGTCACATGGACCACCAAGAACTGGCATGGGCTGCAGATGCAGCGCTTGTCTGTCGTTCTCCACACCGCCGTGGCGTGGCAGACGGTGAACGAGCTAGCGTGCGGGGACAGCGGCATTGTGCACGGAGCTAAGTGCATTGCCGTTCTTAACGGAGTCGCTTAGGCGGCTCCGGTGGTGTGCCGGTGATAGTACTAGCACGCGCCAGTTCGCACCTGTGTCGAGCCTGTGTGCTGTGAGAGAGAGTTGTCTTGTTTAAATTCTTTTCGTATAGTGAGCCCAGTCCCCAGATACGCTACGGCGACGAGACTCGCCACACCCTCCACTACTGTGTACAGTGTGTAGAGGGTCCGCATTCACTTCTCATCTTTTCTCGTGTGGCCTCGCTGGCACACACACCCGCATCCCTCCTTCTCTCCCAATACCGGCGCCGGCGCCGGCGCCGTCGAACCTGAACCTGTCTCCGAGCAGAGCTGCAGCCGCCGCCGACGCGGCTGGGACAGCCGCCCCCTCCCGCCCTTCCTTTTCCTCCCCCTCCTGCTCCTCCCCCTCCTCCTCCGGCCTCTGGCGCACGCGGCGCGTCGCGTGGTCGACGACCTGGAGAGAGATAAGGGCGAGACACTCGGCCGATGGTTGATGAGCCGAGATCGGCCGAGATCAGCCACGGAGTGAGCCGAGATGAGCCGAGGAGCCGAGAGGAACCGAGAGGAACCGCGGGGAGCCGACAGGAGCCGAGGTCAGCCGAGGTCAGCCGGGGAGCCGAGGTTGGCCGAGGTTGGCCGAGGTTGGCCGAGGTGAGGAGAATGCCGCATCGCCGAGGATTGTTGAGCCGAGGAGGGCCGAGGAGAGCCGAAGAGAGCGGGGAAGAGGAGAGTCTAAAGTCGCCGATGTGCTAGTCGATGTGCTAGCCGATCGCCTAGCCGGGGAGGGCCGAGAGGAGCCGACATGCTAGCCGAGGTGAGCCGAGATATACTGCCTCGGCAGTGCCGGCGGCGGCCGCCCTCTTCGCCATCCGCGAGACAGCGCGCGACCTGGGGTTCGTCAGCCGAGAGTAGTTGATTACCGACCCGCGCACGGACGCACCCCCGACAGCGCGGCGAGACCCGTCCTTTCCCATGCGAGGCCCGGCCGGCTGCAGCGCCAGCTCGCGCACCTAAGGCAAGGTGAGGTCAGATCAGGCCGTACCTCGCCTCCCCCGCACCGACCCGACCCCGCACACTCCGGTGGCGAGACGCAGTCCGCGCGGTGGGCGGGGGCGGGGGCGGCGGCAACTTCGCCCGCACCCGCCACCGCTCGCAACTAAGCTCGGCGGATCTCGGCGGATCTCCCGCACCAGCCACACAATGAATCTCGCCCAACCTCGGCGAATCTCGGCTCATCTCCCGCACCAGCCAGTGCTCGTCGCGGTGCACGAGCACGCGCCGCCTACGCAGACCCCGCCATGTGAAGAGACGCCGCTCACAACCAGTGCACGCCGCGGTGCAACCGCTCTCGGCACCCGCCGCCGCTGCAGCGAGCCGCCGCCACACCGCCGCCGCCCCGCTGTTCGCACTTTCCGTCGCCACTGCAGTCGCCGCCTCCGCCTCCACCATCGTCCTGGACGTCGTACGCCACGCCACCGCCGCGCTGTTTGCACTCGCCACCGCCATCTCCGCCTTCGCTTCCGTGCCCACCTCCCTCGCCGTCCCCGCACTTGCACGGCCTGCACTCGTCATCGCCGCTTCTGCCTTCGCCTCCGTCCCCGCCTCCTCCGTCCAGCCGAACGTCGTACGCCACGACGCCGCCCGCCATGCCGCCAGCCCCCTTCAGAAGGACGTCCACGGCGCGGACTGTGCCTGTTCACGGCCGGCGGCCGTGAAGAGACGCTGTTCACGGTGGCGACCGCTCGGCGAAATCTCGGCAAAGTCTCGACGCAATCTCGGCACAATCTCGTGCGGTATCTCCGGCATCTGCAGCCGGTCAGACAGGAGGCTAGACGCAATCTCGGCGCAATCTCAGGCGCAATCTCGGCACAATCTCAGGCGCGATCTCGGCGCAATCTCGTGCGCCTGCCGCCCAGTCAGACAGCAGACCAGACGAGTCCTCAACGGCGCACGAGACACGATCGCCGACGCCGAAGCGGCGCCCGCCGGCGCACGCAGCCTCTCTCGCCGCACCCCGCCGCGGCGCCGCCACCCGCGCCGGCCGGCACGACTCGCTCTCTGAGCAGCGCTCGCTATCTGAGCAGCGGGCTGCGTCGCACCGTCGCCTCGCGGCCTGCGGCAGGCTCATACGCGTGAACCTGTTCACAGCATCGCGGGTGTGAACAGACGCCCTCCACGGCTGCCGGCGGCGGAGCAGAGCTAGTCTCGCGCCGCCGCCACGGATACCTCTAGCCGGGGGCGTGATGTGTGGGCCGGCATCGAAGAGAGAGAGAGGCATTACTTGTCCGTCTCGGGTAATCTCGGGTAATCTCGGGTAGTCTCAGGCATCAGAAGGAGTTCTGGGTGAGAGCAGAGGCCTCTGGGTGATCTCAGCTGCGAGGCTCCAAGTCGTCTGCTCTCCCTCCCTCCCTGTACATGACTTGCTAGCGGGACCCGAGTATTGTACACCAGAACTGCGCGAACTAGCTGGTAAGGCATATCGGTTCCCTAGCGCTCGCTTGGTCTTGCGCATCTAAGAAGAGTGAACCAGAGGGCGCCCGCCCGCTGGCCAAAGCAGACCTCGGCGCGGATCAGGTCGTTGCTGTCCTGCGGCACCGACACGAGCCGAGCCGTTGGCGGGTCCGTCAGCACGATATAGGCGAACTTTCGCCGCCCTGAGCCGTCGTCCGGGTCGGGCTCGTGGACAGCGTGCACCACGCCAGCCTCCCACGGCCGCGCACCACCAACGTTGCAGACGACGCGGTCGCGCCGGACAAAGCGGGCCGGCAGCGACGCGCTCACGGCGCCGCGGATGCGGCCGCGGTCGGCGGCGGTCAGCGTCAGCCGGTTGTTTGATGCGAGCATCTCGAAGAAATTCTGCAGTAGCTCGAGCTTGACAGCGCTCCGCTTTGGCCCGCACAGCCTGCCCGCAGGGTCGCACGCGGCCAGCTCGGCCGTGATGGCGTCGTCGAGAGACTCAAGAAGGCGGACCTCGCTCGGCGTCAGCGAGGCCATGGGAGTGGAGCGGCAGCCTTTTTTCTGAGCTTAGCCTTCGATAAGCTGTGTGCCGCTGTTTTCACGCTGCTCAGCACGCCCCCCGGTTAAGCTGCAATGCAAAACTCTTTTTACCACCTTCAGGTACACCCCCAAGACTCCCCCAAACCGCCCAGGATGAGCTCCTGAGGTGCCATTCCGCCCAAGATATGACCGGTTGAAGTTGGGGTTCCACGGTCAGGATGGAGGTGTCGAACTGGATGGGGGTCAGCCAGGGAGGCTGTTGTGGCGCACCGGACAGCCCCCCAGCACCGTGCCCCACCCAACTGCATCCATGGGAGTCACAAACGGTGCTGTACTCGCGGCTGCAAGCACTCACGACACTCAAACCCACCACCTGCCTCCTACCCTGTACGAGGAGCCATTTCACCCGTGCAACATCTGCACAGGTGTACCGCCGACGCTCCAGCGCCCGGCCCCTACTAGAGTAATCTTGTGGGACCCACAAACGACCAATACATCCACTCGCGGCTGCAGCATGTGTCCGGGAAGGGCATCCCCGTGAAGCAGCCAGCAGGTGCCGGACATGGCGTTGGCCGTCTTGGACCGAGATCAGGGCGCAACTGCCTGTCTCATGGGGTTGAAGGACCGTCATGGGGTCGGCTTTGATGCTGCCAATCAGTCGGGTCGATAGGTGGCGCCCCAGCGAGATGCGTTGCGGGTGCTCGGCGTCGCCTGCTTGAGTGGCCTAAACGCACTCGCGGGAGCCAGAGAGCAAAGGTGTGCGCGAATTGAGGCTTCTGAGCAAGCCCAGGCAAGCCACAGGACCGGCCATGTGCGTGGGTAGTCGAGCGGTGGCCGGAGGCAGCCTCCAGGAGTGCCTCTCAGTTCGACACCTCGGTCTCGACCACGACCAGACTCGGAACGGCACACAGCTTATGTTCGACTCTCGGGCCAACAGAGAGAGAGAGAGAGAGAGAGAGAGGGAGGGGGCATGCGTAACGACGCTGCTAGAGATGCCTTTCGGGGCCCAGAGATAAAACTTCTGATGCCATGCGTGACCTAGTAGTGTCCCCAGCTATGGGCGTGTCCACGTTGGAGCCAGGTGTGGTGTGGACGCGAGAATAGCTCCGCCGTTCATGGAGGCAACCGATGCGAGTCGACTGGTGTGTGTCGTCGTGGTTTCGTATCAAGAATTCTCTCTCTCTCTCTCGGGCCAACAGACATCCCGCACACCCGCCGCACACCCGCCGCCCCCGCGCGCGCCCCACCTCGGCCGGGAGAAAGGGGAGTGAGAGTTTGGGATTACGAGCCCAGGATCAGGAATGATGAAATTGAAAACGGGCCTTTCACCAACAAATGGGCAGCAAAAAAATGGGCTTTTCACGCGAGTTTGTTTTCTTGATTGTGTTCACGATATAATATTATATGTTTGTTTTCGTCATCGTTGGACGTTGCCGCGGCGGCGGCCGGAAAATTCTGCGGCGGCGGACCCACAGTCGGGCCCGCAGTCGCAGCCACCCCACTCGAAGCCGCAGCGTCCGAAGAGGAGCTGCCACGAGCGCTCAAACGAGCAGCACCACAGCTTCTCGAGCGGCGGCTGCGTGACCAGCGCGAGCAAGTCCGGGAGCGCCGAGTGGTTTACCTTACAGAGCCATAGAGCCGCGCATCTGGCTTGTGTGTTTTCTTTCTTTTTCGCCCAAGGGTGGGCGACGGCTAGCGTGCCACACTCCTCTCCTTCAAATCCATGTGTGGTGGCGGCGTGCCGTCCTCCCATCCCTCCCTTGGGGTGTCTGTTTTCTTTCTTTCTTTTATTTACTGCATACTGGGCACGGGACTGGCGCGCACTGGCACTAACACGCGAAAAACATTTTAAATTTTATTAGTCATTCCCTCGCACAACAACATGGGGCACGCGGGACTGGCGCGCACTGGCACGAAAAGCGGAATTCCACGCCAAGGCTCCAAGTGCCCCTCTCACATCAACACTAGGCACGGGACTGTGGCGCGCACTGGCACTAACACCAGTCCCGTGCCTTGCGAAAAGAACTCTCACAATTCAAGCACGAGCGGAGTTACGCCGAGAGGCGAGAGAAGCCGCGAGAGCAGCAAGGCATCGGCAGGCGGCGTCGCAGACAGAACGAGGCCGAGGAGAGTGATGAGTCAGAGGATGAAGCGCGATTGTTTCTCGTTTCGAAACGTAGACCTGCCAGAGAGAAAGCGCATACAAAACAACGCACTCTCGCACATGACAAGCGATCCCACGACAGCGAGTGTGGCCTAGAGAGAAAAAACTCTTTTCAAAGGGCACGGACCTCGCAGAGAATTGAAGAGCGTGAACGCGCCGATCGATCCAAGCGGGTTGGGAAGTGGGGGGCATGGCTTGGATCGATCCGCCAGTCGGCCCGACGTCGGAGGGCGCCTCGCCGGCGACGCGGTCGCACGGCGCGGGCGAGTGGAGGCGGCAGTCTTCGCGAGGAGGAGGAGGAGCCGCCTAATCAACGAACGGCTCGACCACAGTCAATGAACAAGTCATGATGGCGCCGCCGCGGAGTCGGCGCCGCGATCAACCGCGCGCCAGGTGCGAGCGGCGCAGCGCGGCCACCATGCGGCGCGAAAGAAAGAAAGAAAATGCGCCCCCAAGGGAGGGATGGGAGGACGGCACGCCGCCACCACACAGGGATTTTAAGGAGAGGGGTGTGGTGCGCTAGCCGTCGCCCACCCTTGGGCGTCCGCCTCTTCCTATCGATGCGGCGCGACGCTCGCGCCGCGCAAGTTTTTTTTCTCATTACTCGAAGCGTGCAGCTCCCTTGCCAGGTCCCACCATGTCCTCTGCGTTCACCTCGGAGGAGGAGGAGCTGGTGCGCTCCGCCGAGGCGCAGATCGTGCGCCTCGAGGCCGCGAGAGCCGCGGCCGACCAGGCCGGGACCGGCCTTTACGAGCAGCTGCGTAACCGGTTCGCCGGCGCGGCGCCGGCCGACCTGAGGCGTGCGTGGGATGGCTTTTTCGATCTCGGACTGCGCGGGCCAGCGTGGCTTCTCAGTACCCTCCTGTGCTGCATGACCTGCCCTCCGCCTGCTGCTGCGCCCGGCGCCGCCGTGGAAGAGCAGCACCCCGCCCCCGCCACCGCGCCCGCCGCAGCTCCCACCCACCTGCCGCCTCCCCAGCACCCGCCTCCCCAGGCTGGGCTGCAGCAGCCCCCTGGTGTGCAGCCCTCCAGCAGTGGTGGGACCACTAGCCGACTTCCCTTGAATTCAATTGTGAGGAGGAAGGGGAGTTGCAACGGCCTCATGCCGTTCCATATCAACACCCGATTTCGGATACTTGCCGATGACACAGTGGCGGCAAGTCGATGTGGGCCCGATGAGTGCGTCATTCAGCTCCTCCCCCCTACCCAGTCATGCCACCTTGCGCCGGGCAGGATGCTTACGATCATCGTAAGCACGCAAAGTATCCAGGCCATTCCGGCGGGCGTTCCCTATCCGTACACGGCGGCCTTCAGCGATCCCTTCAGAAAGGTGTCCGTAGGAGACCTCCAGTGGAGACCTCAGAGGCGTCGGGCGGCTGCAAACCTCCCCTCGTTCCCAGAGATAACAAGCCTGGAGCACCTAAGAGTGGAGGGAGTCAATGGGGGCTTCAGTGTAATGGATAAGTTGTTCTACACGAAGGGGCTGTACAACTGGGTGGCTCACGCGTCCTGGTACGTGTTGCTCTTTCCATGGTTGTGGGATCGGTCAGGTGCCGTCCTCGAGGAGCCCTACTGCATCGTCACTGTTGGACTATCCGCTGAGTTCAAGCATGGAACGGACGGGAGCTTTTTGCCGCTGCCTGCCAAGCGCAATGTGGGGCTCCGAAGGCCACTGGAGGGAGAAGCGGGAGAAATCCTCGGGCAAAAGGCGCCACATAAGTCGGGACTACAGAGCAGCAACAAGATGCCCGTCTACCTGCTGTGGGCAGAGGCGCGGCCCGATGAGTTTGCTTCCAAGAGTGGCGCTTCTACAGGCACCACCCTCGAGCAAAAGGCCTTCACCAGCTTGCTCACTTCGCGGTATGGGAGCGACAGCTGGGGGCGTTGGACAGTTACGCAGTCCTACACGCCGCCAGGCGGAATCGGCGGCGACGAGTCGTTCTATATGAAGTGGAACTCCGCGACGACGGCACGCTTCATCACGGATTGCACAAAGTGGATGGGAGAGGCAGGCCGCGGACCAATGCTATCTGAAGGAATGAAATTGCTGGTGAAGCACGCTAATTCGAGCGAGTAGCCAGTACGTTTTGTGTTGCGATAAGAAAACGCGATATGAAAAAACAGGAGGACCCGGAGAGATTGCCCGACATGAATCTTTTCGCGAGAATGCCAGATTACCCGTCATCGATCATCGTATTCTTCGAGATTATTAGACGCAGAGGAGATCTCGGGTAATCTCGGGTAATCTCGGGTAATCTCGCGTAATCTCTCGAAGATTCATGTCACGTCGGGTAATCTCTCGGGTAAACTGTCATGACGTCGGGGGTAAATCTCGGGTAAATTCTCGAAGAATGATGTCGGGGGTGGGGAGCTACGAGCGGAGATGTGGGGAGATATGGGGGGAGGTGTGGGGAGGTGTCTGCTCGAGGTAGTGCACCGCCGAGCGGACGAGGACGTGTGGGGAGGTGAGCGCGTTGAGGAGCCGTCCGCGCGCCTGACCCGCCCTGCGAGGGGGCGAGCAAGGGAGAGGTCTCAGGAGTCGCTTCGACGTCGCCGCCGAGGAAACGCTCTCCTGTGCACACCACTCCCCCGAACTAGATGGCACAGGGCTGACTACTGACTACAGTCTCCAGCAAGACTCTCCTCGCCTGCGACGAGGAGACGTCGATGCTGGCCAACTGGACTACTCACCCCTTCCTGAGTAGTACTGAACTCCTCGCTCGCCTGCGACGAGGAGGAGATGTTGACGACGCGGCCCGTCTTGGGGTACGCCTCCTCGAAGGTGGTGTCGCCGTAGTAGCGGCGCGTGCAGCGCGCGAAGACGTCGTTGTCGACGAGGCGAGCCGAGCACCTACTCACAGCTGCGCTGTTCACAGCTGCACTGTTCACAGTGGCGTCGACGAGGCGAGCCGAGCACCTACTCACAGCTGCGCTATTCACAGCTGCACTGTTCACAGTGGCGTCGACGAGGCGAGCCGAGCACCTATTCACAGCTGCGCTATTCACAGCTGCACTGTTCACAGTGGCGTCGACGAGGCGAGCCGAGCACCTATTCACAGCTGCGCTATTCACAGCTGGACTATTCACAGTGGCGTCGACGAGGCGAGCCGAGCACCTATTCACTCACAGCTGCGCTATTCACAGCTCGACTGTTCACAGTGGCGTCGACGAGGCGAGCCGAGCACCTACTCACAGCTGCGCTATTCACAGCTGCACTGTTCACAGTGGCGTCGACGAGGCGAGCCGAGCACCTATTCACAGCTGCGCTATTCACAGCTGCACTGTTCACAGTGGCGTCGACGAGGCGAGCCGAGCACCTACTCACAGCTGCGCTATTCACAGCTGCACTGTTCACAGTGGCGTCGACGAGGCGAGCCGAACACCTATTCACTCACAGCTGCGCTATTCACAGCTCGACTATTCACAGTGGCGTCGACGAGGCGAGCCGAGCACCTATTCACTCACAGCTGCGCTATTCACAGCTCGACTATTCACAGTGGCGTCGACGAGGCGAGCCGAGCACCTATTCACTCACAGCTGCGCTATTCACAGCTCGACTATTCACAGTGGCGTCGACGAGGCGAGCCGAGCACCTATTCACAGCTGCGCTATTCACAGCTGGACTATTCACAGTGGCGTCGACGAGGCGAGCCGAGCACCTATTCACAGCTGCGCTATTCACAGCTGGACTATTCACAGTGGCGTCGACGAGGCGAGCCGAGCACCTATTCACAGCTGCGCTATTCACAGCTGCACTGTTCACAGTGGCGTCGACGAGGCGAGCCGAGCACCTACTCACAGCTGCGCTATTCACAGCTGGACTATTCACAGTGGCGTCGACGAGGCGAGCCGAGCACCTATTCACTCACAGCTGCGCTGTTCACAGCTGCACTGTTCACAGTGGCGTCGACGAGGCGAGCCGAACACCTATTCACAGCTGCGCTGTTCACAGCTGCACTGTTCACAGTGGCGTCGACGAGGCGAGCCGAGCACCTACTCAGCTGCGCTGTTCACAGCTGCACTGTTCACAGTGGCGTCGACGAGGCGAGCCGAACACCTATTCACTCACAGCTGCGCTATTCACAGCTCGACTATTCACAGTGGCGTCGACGAGGCGAGCCGAGCACCTATTCACTCACAGCTGCGCTATTCACAGCTCGACTATTCACAGTGGCGTCGACGAGGCGAGCCGAGCACCTATTCACTCACAGCTGCGCTATTCACAGCTCGACTATTCACAGTGGCGTCGACGAGGCGAGCCGAGCACCTATTCACAGCTGCGCTATTCACAGCTGGACTATTCACAGTGGCGTCGACGAGGCGAGCCGAGCACCTATTCACAGCTGCGCTATTCACAGCTGGACTATTCACAGTGGCGTCGACGAGGCGAGCCGAGCACCTATTCACAGCTGCGCTATTCACAGCTGCACTGTTCACAGTGGCGTCGACGAGGCGAGCCGAGCACCTACTCACAGCTGCGCTATTCACAGCTGGACTATTCACAGTGGCGACTGTTCACAGTGGCGTCGACGAGGCGAGCCGAGCACCTACTCACAGCTGCGCTATTCACAGCTGCACTGTTCACAGTGGCGTCGACGAGGCGAGCCGAGCACCTATTCACAGCTGCGCTATTCACAGCTGCACTGTTCACAGTGGCGTCGACGAGGCGAGCCGAGCACCTACTCACAGCTGCGCTATTCACAGCTGCACTGTTCACAGTGGCGTCGACGAGGCGAGCCCGAGCCGAACACCTATTCACTCACAGCTGCGCTATTCACAGCTCGACTATTCACAGTGGCGTCGACGAGGCGAGCCGAGCACCTATTCACTCACAGCTGCGCTATTCACAGCTCGACTATTCACAGTGGCGTCGACGAGGCGAGCCGAGCACCTATTCACTCACAGCTGCGCTATTCACAGCTCGACTATTCACAGTGGCGTCGACGAGGCGAGCCGAGCACCTATTCACAGCTGCGCTATTCACAGCTGGACTATTCACAGTGGCGTCGACGAGGCGAGCCGAGCACCTATTCACAGCTGCGCTATTCACAGCTGCACTGTTCACAGTGGCGTCGACGAGGCGAGCCGAGCACCTATTCACAGCTGCGCTATTCACAGCTGCACTGTTCACAGTGGCGTCGACGAGGCGAGCCGAGCACCTACTCACAGCTGCGCTATTCACAGCTGCACTGTTCACAGTGGCGTCGACGAGGCGAGCCGAACACCTATTCACTCACAGCTGCGCTATTCACAGCTCGACTATTCACAGTGGCGTCGACGAGGCGAGCCGAGCACCTATTCACTCACAGCTGCGCTATTCACAGCTCGACTATTCACAGTGGCGTCGACGAGGCGAGCCGAGCACCTATTCACTCACAGCTGCGCTATTCACAGCTCGACTATTCACAGTGGCGTCGACGAGGCACCTACTCACAGCTGCGCTATTCACAGCTGCACTGTTCACAGTGGCGTCGACGAGGCGAGCCGAGCACCTACTCGCTGCGCTGTTCACAGCTGCACTGTTCACAGTGGCGTCGACGAGGCGAGCCGAACACCTATTCACAGCTGCGCTGTTCACAGCTGCACTGTTCACAGTGGCGTCGACGAGGCGAGCCGAGCACCTATTCACAGCTGCGCTATTCACAGCTGCACTGTTCACAGTGGCGTCGACGAGGCGAGCCGAGCACCTACTCACAGCTGCGCTGTTCACAGCTGCACTGTTCACAGTGGCGTCGACGAGGCGAGCCGAACACCTATTCACTCACAGCTGCGCTATTCACAGCTCGACTATTCACAGTGGCGTCGACGAGGCGAGCCGAGCACCTATTCACTCACAGCTGCGCTATTCACAGCTCGACTATTCACAGTGGCGTCGACGAGGCGAGCCGAGCACCTATTCACTCACAGCTGCGCTATTCACAGCTCGACTATTCACAGTGGCGTCGACGAGGCGAGCCGAGCACCTATTCACAGCTGCGCTATTCACAGCTGGACTATTCACAGTGGCGTCGACGAGGCGAGCCGAGCACCTATTCACAGCTGCGCTATTCACAGCTGCACTGTTCACAGTGGCGTCGACGAGGCGAGCCGAGCACCTACTCACAGCTGCGCTATTCACAGCTGCACTGTTCACAGTGGCGTCGACGAGGCGAGCCGAGCACCTACTCACAGCTGCGCTATTCACAGCTGCACTGTTCACAGTGGCGTCGACGAGGCGAGCCGAGCACCTACTCACAGCTGCGCTGTTCACAGCTGCACTGTTCACAGTGGCGTCGACGAGGCGAGCCGAGCACCTACTCACAGCTGCGCTATTCACAGCTGCACTGTTCACAGTGGCGTCGACGAGGCGAGCCGAGCACCTATTCACTCACAGCTGCGCTGTTCACAGCTGCACTGTTCACAGTGGCGTCGACGAGGCGAGCCGAGCACCTACTCACAGCTGCGCTATTCACAGCTGCACTGTTCACAGTGGCGTCGACGAGGCGAGCCGAGCACCTACTCACAGCTGCGCTATTCACAGCTGCACTGTTCACAGTGGCGTCGACGAGGCGAGCCGAGCACCTACTCACAGCTGCGCTGTTCACAGCTGCACTGTTCACAGTGGCGTCGACGAGGCGAGCCGAGCACCTACTCACAGCTGCGCTGTTCACAGCTGCACTGTTCACAGTGGCGTCGACGAGGCGAGCCGAGCACCTACTCACAGCTGCGCTGTTCAGCTGGACTATTCACAGTGGCGTCGACGAGGCGAGCCGAGCTATTCACTCACAGCTGCGCTGTTCACAGCTGCACTGTTCACAGTGGCGTCGACGAGGCGAGCCGAGCACCTACTCACAGCTGCGCTATTCACAGCTGCACTGTTCACAGTGGCGTCGACGAGGCGAGCCGAGCACCTACTCACAGCTGCGCTATTCACAGCTGCACTGTTCACAGTGGCGTCGACGAGGCGAGCCGAGCACCTATTCACAGCTGCGCTATTCACAGCTGCACTGTTCACAGTGGCGTCGACGAGGCGAGCCGAGCACCTACTCACAGCTGCGCTATTCACAGCTGGACTATTCACAGTGGCGTCGACGAGGCGAGCCGAGCACCTATTCACTCACAGCTGCGCTATTCACAGCTGCACTGTTCACAGTGGCGTCGACGAGGCGAGCCGAGCATCTACTCACAGCTGCGCTGTTCACAGCTGCACTGTTCACAGTGGCGTCGACGAGGCGAGCCGAGCACCTATTCACAGCTGCGCTATTCACAGCTGGACTATTCACAGTGGCGTCGACGAGGCGAGCCGAGCACCTATTCACAGCTGCGCTGTTCACAGCTGGACTACTCCCACTCATCTCGCCCCGTATCTCCCCGTATCTCCCCGTCATCTCGTACCTTGGAGAGGACGATCTGGCAGACAGCTTCGTCGAGCATGTCCTCCTCGTCCTCGGCTCCGGCAGCCTGTTCACAGCTCTTCGACTCACACCCTCCCGTTCACAGCTCCTCGTCCTCGCTCGGCTCCGGCAGCCTGACACGCACAAAGGTATGTCCGCATATCTCCCCATCTCAGACGCATCTGGCGCTGCATCTCGTCGAAGCCATCTCCCACAATCTCGGCCGCATCTCCCACAATCTCGGCCGCATCTCCCACAACCTCGGCCGCACCTCGGCTGCAACTCGCCGGTCGAGGCCGTCTCACTTGTGATACGCGGTGGCAAGTTGAGCAAGCGAGCGCAACGCCTGTGATACACGGTCAGTAAGTCAGGCAGGCAACAGTCCGCCAGCAACTCCTGGTGCGAATCTCGGCGAATCTCGGCGAATCTCGGCTTGCAAGCGCCTCGAGTGCGATCTCGGGCACCTGGCCCGACATGCGCAGCCTGCGTGGTATTACGCCGACATCAGAGCGGGAAGACGGTCGTGTGCAGCGTCTTCAGAGCACCTGATAGGAATAAAGGGAATACAGCGGATAGGAATAAAGGGAAGACAGCGGCATACAGCGGAATGCGTGCCTCTCGAGTGCTGGCTGGGAGAAATGAACACGGATTCCGCTTCTAAGATGCGCAGCCGGAGGCAGAGGTACAGCAGGTTGTCCCCAACCTTCCCCGCCACGTCGCGCCGCATCTGCAGGAAGGTTCCGAGAAGCTTCGCGGACAGGCTCCGGCGCGTCGCCTGTGCGACGGTCGCGGCCGCTCGCCCCGTCCCGCGTCACGATGACAAATTTGTCGGCCGCTGCGGGAACAAGGTCGGGGAGGTCAGAGGCAGATCATATAGGCGGTGAAGGGAGGAGGCGGACGGCAAGAGGCGGCGGAGGCGGCGGAGGCGTGGTGGCAAAGGGGCGTTGGCGAATGATCTCCCCATATCTCCCCATATCTCGCAGGTGGAGGTTGCCGAGGTCAGGACTATGCCAGCACGTTGTGGGAGAGCACCGCGCCGAGTGCGGCCAGCTTAGTCTGGAGCATTCGTTGGAATACAAGAACACGCACTCCGTCTCTTGTGTGTGCGCGCGCGCGTGCGTGCGTGTGTGCGTGCGTGCGTGCGTGCGGTGTGTGTGTGTGTGCGTGCGTGCGTGCGTGCGTACGTGCGTGCGTATGTGCGTGTGTGCGTGCGTGCGTGCGTGCGCGCGCGCGCGTGCGTACGTGCGTACGTGCGTGTGTGTGTGTGTGTGTGTGTGTGTGTGTGTGCGTGTGTGTGTGTGCGCGCGCGTGCGTGCGTGCGTTGTGTGTGTGTGTGTGCGTGTTCCAACCTCTGACGCACACCGGCGTCCGAAAAAAGAATTGTGTGTCTTCGCTTCTTATTAACATCGAAGTAACATCGAACTTGAGGGGCCAGGATACGCAGCGAGGAGGACGGAGTTGCGCCGAAAGGCGAAAGAAGCCGCGAGAACAAGGGACCGGCAGGCGGCGGCGCCGCAGGACGAGGCAGAAGAGAATGACGCGACAGAGGAGGAAGTGACAAGGGCGAGACCTAGCGCGGGTGGGTTGGAGGGGGCTCGCCCCGTTCCTCCCCATCGGGCCGCATGAGCGGCCACGCCTCGCAGGTTCGTATCTCGCGCCTGAGTCAGGCGCGCGGGGCATCCCCCGGGTCGACCAGCGATCCGAAGAGTGGCCGCTATGCGAAGGAAAGAGCGGGGCCCTCGGGGTACGCCTCGTCCGGCCCCCTCCGAGGGGGGAAGGGAATTGCGGGGTCCCC